TCTAAAACATTGTGAGTAGGTGAGTAAAGTATATAACAGTTTATGCTACCATTTATGTAAAAAGAAGAGAAAACTGAGCTGGGTGTGGTGGTGCATGCCTATAATCCCAGCTCTCAGGAGGCTGAGGGAGGAGAATTTTGAATTTGAAGCCAGCCTGGGCTACATCATGAATTCAAAAGCTGCCTAAACTATATAGTGAGACCTGCCAAAAAAACCACCAAAAAAAAAAAAAAAAAGAGAGAGAGAGAAAATACTAAGTAGTAGTATTTACAAAAACAACAAAACCAACCCACCTGGAAGGAGATAGAAAACTCTAGCAGAGGGTACTGGGTTTTTTAGGAGGTACATGGGAGAGGGTAGAGGATGAACAAGGAAGAGAGAGGATAGAGGCTGAGAGAAGCACACAGTGTAAAAATAGTTAAGACCCAAAAGGACCTAAAGAATGGTAGCGTGCATGGCATCAGAGTTAATCCAACAGTTCAGTGCCTCAATTTTTTGGGGGTACTGGGGATCGAACTCAGGACCTTGCACTTGCAAGGCAGGCACAGTGCCACTGAGCTATATCCCTGGCCCATTAGCTACTATCTTAATAAGCAGAGGAAACCTAACTAAGTACACAAGTGAAGATGGTGAGCTGAAGGCTGTAGTCAGTAAGGAGCCTGGCCTGAATAAAGAGTGTTCTTCACCAAAACTAGAGGAAAAGGCTGGAAAAAAGTGCATAGAGTCTAGATTGTAGAGAGGTGAACTGAGTTTTGGAGCATAGGATGGAGTTTCCAGTCTTGTACTGACATAGATCAGAAGCATACTAGTAGTCCTCAGGTTGCAAGCTGTCCAAAACCAGTGCATTTCTATGCTATGAGACATCAGTAAGAATTCAATCCTATACTGGAAGACTTTCCAAAGTTTCTTTCTTTTCTTTTTCTTTTTGAGACAGGGTCTCACTGTGTAGTCCAGGCTGGCCTGGAATTCACTGTGTAGCCCAGGCTGCTCTCAAACTCATGGGGATCCTCCTGCCTCAGCCTTCCGAGGGCTAGGTAGGATTACAGGTGTGTGCCACAATGCCTGGCTATCCAAAGTTTCAAATGCCTGATAGGTACTTTCGTTTTTCTTTCTTTAGGATATCATAGTCATGATAATGGTACAAGGAAGTGTTGATTAACATGCAGAATAAAAGACCCATTCAAGTAGAAAGTTACAAGAATAATGAGTATGATAATAAAGAGAATGAATTGAGGTAGTAATAAAAAAATGGAGGGCCGGGGATACAGCTCAGTGGTTTTGCCGCCTGCTGTGCAAGTGTAAGGACCTGAGTTCGATCCCCAATAACAAAAAAAAAAAAAAAAAAAAAAAGGGAAAGGAAGACTAAAAAGTAAATTTGAAGGAACAGGCACACGTACCCCCACGCCCCCATCCTGACCCATATTTGGCAAGTACACTACCCAGCCCAGGATTTTTTAATTGACTGGATTTCCGTTACCCTTAGAAGATGGCAGTGGAGGTCCTAGGACTGCTACATGATCTTGATCCAGGGCAGTGAGTGTGACACCATTTCGAGTAATACCAGACACAACAGCCTTCAGCAACAGTGATCTCACTAATCTCTGATTTTTTTCTGTGTCACCTGGATATATTGGTATCAAGGTTTCATATATACACCCATCAGAGCCTGTTGGAAACAAACACTTGTGGTTCAGTAGTGGGTTAAGAACAGTTCTGTATCTATTATAATTAAATGTACTAGGTTGCTTATAAGATTTTAACAATGTGGTAAATTACCCAAGCAGAAAAACAAAGACATCACTCTATGCTTTCCTTTAAAGGATACTTCAAACATAAAATTGGGGTGAGGAATATTAGTAATAAAAATCACAGCAAGAAGTCATAATAACCAAGAAATAAAAACAGTATACACCTGTAATTACCTAAAAATATGGAGAGAAGAATAAAAACTATCTAGTCACTAAAAGGATATGTCCACGCTAGAGAGCTGGATGGGGGGAGAGGGTCCGATGACTAAACCCAGGGCTTTGCCAGTGAGCTACTCCCTGAAGCCCAAGAAATTAATTAGAATCTGATCACTGTATTACATTTCTTGTTACTCAGTTTACCCGAAAAACCATATAAAATTGCTGTTCTTTGTAGGTTAATTGAATTCTGCCAGTTTTATATGGTTCTAGTTATGCTGCAGAAAGATTTATATGACCATTTAGTTGTTTTGTTTTTTTTTTGGTACCAGGGATCGAACTCAGGTCTTTGTGCTTGCGAGGCAGGCGGCGGAACCACTGAGCTAAATCCCGGGCCCTGAACATTTAAGCACCCTTCAATGTTCATCATACTAAAACATGAAGCATGTTTTATGCCAATTACCTCATTTCAGTAAATGAAGAGTCTTTACAAACAGCTGCACATTGAAAAAATTCATAAAGATAACTGTGATAATATGGAAATATTTCCTAAATATTTTTTGTTTTTTGATTTGAGACAGAGTCTCACTTTGTTGTTCAGGCTGGCCTTGATCTGTGTAGCTCAGGTAGGCCTGGAACTCATGGCAATCTTCCTGCCTTAGCCTCTCAAATCCTGGGATTACAGGCATGTGCCCAGCATTTCCTAAATATTCCTGTTTTCTCCTCCATAATTTCTTCAAAATGACTTCAAATCTACAAAGGGCTGGAGGAGAGGGTACCACAAAGGCTGGTTTTTTGGGTTTTTTTGTCCTAGAAGCATAAGTCTGGGGTTATTTAGAACATTATGTAGAAGTAGATTGAAAGTATTTTTAAAAATGTTTAAAAAAAATCTACAAAAAGTAAGTGGCATAGCCAATGCTGCTCTATTACTCTTTGTCCATCTGTCTTACTCACTGTTCAAAGAAAGACACACTCAGTCTAATGGGTGGAAAAGAGGTATAGAACACTGATTGTCAAGCAGGTATTTTATGGTCCACTAGTTACTATGTCAAAGAACATGGCCTTATCACAAGGATAAAAAAGATTTTCCTTTTTCACAGGTGTTGTTTTATTTACTGCTTATGGCAAATTTAAAAACATGAGAGTTACATAAACAATGTTTGAAAACTGTGCTTTAGGGCTGGGGATTTAGCTCAGTAGCACCACATCTGCCTTGCAAGCTCAAGGTCCTGAGTTTGATCCCCAATAACAGAAAAAAAAAAAAGAAAAAAGAAAAAAAAATTAAACATTCCAAGTAAAAATTGTGCTTTACTTGAAGTACTTACACATAAATACTCCCTCAGAACACAGCACCAGTGACCCAATGCATGACCACACATGGCCAAGCGCAAAAGGTAAGAGCATAAATCTTTATCAGTTAGCAGAAAAAGGGAAGGATAACAGAAAATTCCAAGATTCTACACTATCCTATAATATCCTTTTATTAAAAATTGCTGGAAGTTTAAAGAAAACTTACTTAATGACATTAAAGAGATAAATTTCCGATCCACATAAGCAGTAAAATTCAGCGTGACAGATTTTTCTTCTTGTCCAAGCAAGAGACTGTATTTGCTTAAGTTTCGTGAGTTGAACATTTGTACATACGCATAATGATTTCCATCCTGCAATAAAAGGGTAATTTTATTTTATAAATATTGCCATTTTAACCAACTATATTTAATGTTAAAACTAGAAGTCACCCCATTCTAAATACTTCAATGAGTACTTAATTTCTTGTCCAATTAAATTTAAAATGATATAAATACAAGTTTAATTTAGGCTTGGAAATAATTCTAACTAATATACTTTACAGCGTTTAAAACTATTTTAAAAATTTAAGAATCTTCTGAAATACTAAAGTTCCATTTTAGTCCTAAAAATAATACAGGCAACTTTAAAATTCACAAAATAGGCCATGAAGTGAAGATATCACTTACTTTTTCAGTAATAAAAACTAAGACAGGATGCCTAAATACCACGAAAAACTTTGTCCACCTGAAAAACAAACAAATTTCAAAACACAAAAATCAGTTGGGCTGGGGATTTAGCTCAGTGGTTTCACCTCCTGCTGCGCAAGCGCAAGGACCCGAGTTCGATCCCCAGTACCCCCCCCCAAAAAAAATCAGTTGAGAAAAACATGAATCAGAATTTATACCATAGTCAATCAGCAGGTGCTAGTCTGTCAGAGGTATGTCTGGACTAAATGCAGGATGCAGTCAAGTTCCGAGAGAGAGTGAGAGTACAGCATGTGGTGACTCCCAAACTTAAAATGACCCCTCCAACCCTTTCTTTCAGAATTACTTTTGTTTTCAGAATTACTTTTGGGACTAGTGTACTAAGGAAAATCTTAGGATCTCATCTGCCTACTTCAAGTGACAGAGCCACTGGGAGGCTAATGACCTTATAACCAAGGGAGCACCGGTAGTTTGTGGCAAAGTGATGATTAGAACTTAATCAATTTCCCCAAACAGTTGCTTACACCACACAGGCATGCATCAGGTCAATCTAAAATACTGCTGTCCATATTGTCCATATTGTTCACTTACTAAATACAAGTCTTCGCTTTGACTTTTAGGAAATGTGATGAAATAGTGAGGATCAGAGATGTGAAATCATGAAATGTCCTTCTATCATTTGGGTGAGTCATTTTTTCAGGTTTATTCTAGAATCTGGAATGAGCTGAGGTCTCACAGCATTATTAAGATTTCAATAACAAGTTGTACTTTTCTCTAGAGAAAAAGGTTGTGACTTGGCAGTCAGGGAAATATGACAAAAACAAAAAGATCTTGGTTTGTTTTTTTTTTTGGTACCGGGGATCAAACTTGGGTCCTTGCGCTTGGGCACCAGGTGGAGAAAGTACTGAGCTAAATTCCCGGCCCTATAAAAAGATTTTGGACTTTTGGAATTATCTATTTCAGCTTAAAATGACTGGCTATCGGCCGGGGATTTAGCTCAGTGGTTCCGGTGCCTGCCTCAAAAGCACAAGATCCCGAGTTCGATCCTTGGTACCAAAAAAAGACCGACTATCCAGTTCTCTGTCACTGGAATAGGACTCATATGACCATGGTTTCCTTAATCACTATCACTCCAGCATCTTTTAGGGGATGTTCTTTTGTTTTTGTTTTTTTTTTTGGTACCAGGGATCAAACTCGGGTCCTTGGGCTTGCAAGGCAAGCGGCGGAACCACTGAGTTAAATCCCTGGCCCATGGGGGATGTTCTTTTGGTCAGTGTCTTCTGAGTGTTTTTTCATTAGATCTCTCTGTCTCTCCTCTCCTTTGGTGAGATGCTGGGAACTGAATTTAGGGCTTCATGCATGCTAGGTAAGCACTCTACTGCTGAGCTGCAACCCCAGACCTAGGTTACTATTACTATACTTATACTTCCGAACACAATAAAGAATGTAATAAATACACAGTATATTTTTTTTTTGCGGTACTGGGGATTGAACTTAGGACCTTGCACTTGCGAGGCAGGGGCAGTGCCACTGAGCTAAATCCCCAGCCCCACAGTACGTTTTCATTTTGGTAAAAATTCACTTACAAGTATTGAAACTTACTTAATCACTTCTCCATCACAGATAACTTTTTCAATTTTCTGCTGGGGCTCTGCAAGCAAGGCCTCTAAACCACGAACAGCACCTCCCTCGAACAGCACCAAGGGTTCTGTTCCTTGTATTGAGTGTATCTTATGTACCTCAGCTGACAACTGGAAAACATTAAAATATTTTTATTCTAAAAAATATATAACTAACATATGGGAAAAGGACACCTATAGAAGGCTTATTTATTTTTGGTAATAGGGATGGAATGCAGGACCTCATACACGTTAGGCAAGTGCTCAACTACTGAGCACTCCCAACCCCTTTTATTCTTTTGAGACAGGGTCTTGGTTAAGTTGTTAAGGCTGACCTCAAATTGGCAATAATCCTCAATCTCCTGAATAGCTAGGATTATAGTGATGCACCACCATATCCAGTTAGAAGGCTTATTTTTTAAAAGACTAATGTGTTTTCAGCTTGATTTAATTTCCTTTTGTAACTATATATGGTTCTAAAATCAAACACACACAAAAATATATTCAGAAGTCTAAATCCTATTCTTATTCTCTCTTCGCTGGGTCCTTTTCTCCTCCACAGGTAACCATTTTTATTCATTTTTGGCTCATCCATTGTGCATAAAGGAGGTCAGGGGAGAACTTGTGTCTCCCAAAACTAGAGGTGAGAGGTACAAATAAAGCCATTAATGTTAGCCAGCCAGCTGGATAGATGTTTCAAGGGTCTAGGCAACACCTGCATTATATCTGAATCCTGTTGTGAGCCATTTCTAAAATGTGCCAATCATATTTAGAGTTAGACATTTAAAAGTAGAAGGAAGTTTTGAGATCTTCTTACTATCAGAAAAAAAAGGTTAATTAACACATTTTAGGTTATTAGTAAAAACGATATATTTAGTCATAGCTTTTTAAAAAAACTATCCTTTATGTTGCTCTTAAAAGGTACAATATACAAAACTTGTAGGATCTATTCTACCCATCCGAAGAAAGAGGACAAGTTCATCTGTTCTCATGAAGGACACACACAAAACACCCAAACTCATAGGAATACAGTGGTATCTCAGTTTACAAACTTAATTTGTTTTGCAATTTTGGGGAAGATAGCTGCATTTGTGTATGTGAGGGGAGGATGGCTGTGGTCATGTTTGTCACCAAGGCAGAGTTTGTGACAGGAAGCAAAATTTTGCTGAACATGAATTGTTTGCAAACCAAATCTGTTTGCAAACAGAAGCATTTGTGAACTGATATATTACTGTATGTATCAATTGATCATTTATTATTTAAATCATCAATCTCATGGAATGATGACATACATACCTTATAATCTATTAGTGCATGAACTGACATGTTATCAATATATATTGTAAGATAATTAGAAAGAAAAACTGATTCCAAGCTAAGCATGGTGTCGCACACCTAAAATCCTGCATTCTGGGTTGCTGAGACAGGAGGATCAATTCTAGTCCAAACTCAGGCAACTTAACGACTTAGTGAACCCTGTCTCAAAACTGAAAAAAGTTTGGGTCTGTGCAAAGACCCAGTATTGAAGAAAAGAAATAAATAACCCCCCCAACTGACTGCAACTTAGGTTTACTTTTCCAGCGCTATTAAGATAAAAACATACTGGGGCTGGGGATTTAACTCAGTGATTCCAAGTTAGAGCCCCGGTACCAAACAAACAAACAACAGCAACAAAAAGATAAAAACATACTACCCTATGAATGATCCCTTCACCAATAAGCTAAATAAATATGTTGGAAAAATCCAAAGACTTACTGTAGCCTTAAATACTTTATCCAAGTTTACATCTTCATTGTTCCATATTCTCAAAACCTGAAAACAAAGCATACAAGTTAGAAAGTATCCCATTCTCTTTTTACATATAATAAACCTAACATTATTTGACTTGTGTTGGATATATTATTATACAGGTTTTAAAACTCACCTTATTATCATGTACAACAATATGTTCTCCAGTTTGATAGTTGCACACAGCTGGACATGTTATAATTTGACCTTGTTTCACTGACCAGCTCCCCAAAGGTTTCTGATCAGAAACCTAATGAAAGTAAGAAAAATAAAATATTCAAGAAGTCAATTTCTGGCTTTAAAAGCAATTAGATTTACAAAAAAAATGTCAAAGACAGCATTTAACAAATTTCTTAAGAAAAAAAATAAGCGGTCACAATGTAGATTCCACTTATATGAAGTATCTATAACATAGTCACAACTGATAAAGATGGAAGAATTGTGGTTACCAGGAGATGAAGAAACAGTTACTATTTAATGAGTACAAAATTTCAATTTTGCAAGATGAAAGAGTTATGGAGATGGATGGTGGTGATGGCTGCACAACACTGTGAAAACACTTAATACAAATGAACAGTATGTACACTTAAACATAGTTAAGATGATACATTTTCTGTGTACTTTACCACAAATAAAAATTTAAAACTTAGTTGGATATGGCGGCACAGGCCTGTAATCCCTGCATTCTCGAGGATGGATTGCAAATTGTGGACCAGCCTGGGCTAGACAGTCTCAAAAACATGACCCCCTTCTCCAACCCCCCACTGGGGATAGAACCCAGGGCCTTTGCACTGAGCTACATCCTTGGTCTTTTAGAAATTTTAAAATTCTGAGACAGGGTCTCACTAAGTTGTTAAATTGCCCAGGCCCTGGGATTTAGCTCAGTGGTGCCAAGCCTTCCTGGCAAGTACAAGGCCCTGAGTTCGATTCCCAGTACAAACAAAAACAAAAACAAAAAATAAATCCCAAAAAACTGCCCAAACCATGCTAGAACTTGGAATTCTCCTGTCTCAGTCTCCCAGAGCCCTGCCTTACAGCATGTCACCACGCACAGCTCAAAAAAAAATTTTTTTTTTAACTTAAAAAAAATGTAATTAAAGCCAGGTGTCTTGGTGCATGCCTGTAATCCCAGCACTCTGGAGGTTGAGCCAGGAGGATCACTGGGAGTTCAAGGCCAGCCTGGGCTACATAGTGAATTCAAGACCAGCCTAAACTACATAGTGAGACCCTGTCTCAAAAACTAAAACAGTAATTAGTATGAAAATATAATTAAGTCTCTAAAATGAAAATGTAATAATTGACAACACATTATTAATAAACAATAGTGTACTGTATTTTAAAAAATCATTCCATTTTGCGTCTGAACAGGGGCATGTTAAATTAAGAGGGGATACCCAGGATCGTGTCCATTCAATTCCAATCAGCCACTGCTTTCCTATGCAGGAACTGCAAATCCACTGGATAGCCGAGGTAAAGACCAAGATTTAGCTCAGGAATCTAAGCAAACACTACAGGGAAACTATGGGCAATCTGTCCCCAAAACTTTAAGCAGACAGTTAACTTTTTGGCGACACAGAAAAATATATTCAGCAGCCCAGATTAAAATAACTGTTTCCTATAGGATCGCCAAAAGCAAAGTTAAGTGTGCTCAATTAGGAAATAGGATGAAAAGGAGGCGGGACCTACGATTTCCTGACACACTCCACGATTCCTAAAGTGAACCAGAGTTGCCCACTACAAGTCACTCGGAATTCAAGACTCTTACTGGATTAACAAGAAATCTCTGCCTCACTCGCAAAAAGGAAAAAAACCCAGAGCGGGGGATAAAGTGTGTAGACACAGAGCTAAAACATGTTCCCACCCCGTCAATGTCATCTTTAGCCGCTCAGTCTCAGTTCGACTCTTTGGTGGGCAGCAGGGTGCCCAAGACCCTAGGAGGGGATCTTAGCAAAGCCATCTGCAGAGTAGTCCTAGCAAAGGCACAGGTTCCTTTTCTTTTCCTGCCTGTCCCATGTGCACTGTGACGCTGTGCCACCTGCAACTCAGAAATACCTCCCTACAGCCAAACAATCCAGTTAGACTCTAGACCTCGTTCAGCGTCCTAGACAAAGCAAGCCGTGTCTCTATCAAGCTCAATCCACAATCTCTTTCTGAGGCTGGGAGAAAATCGAGCCTCCGACTCCTAGCTCAGGAAGGGGCGACACGGCAGCCAGGCGCTCATATCCCTCTTACCTTATAGAGGACGACAGTCCTGCTTCTGTCTGTCACTAGAAAATGGTCTGTTTTGTCGCTAGGTTCCACGCCTAGGAGTCCATCAGGCCCCGCGAACAGAGCTTCCGCAGACAACGTGAACTCTTCTCCCAGGGCTGCCATTTTGGGCACGCCTAGGGCTGGCCGCGCACAGTTCCAGCAGGCCTCGCGCTTTCTCTCGCGACAGCGGAAAGGGTAAGAGGGAGGGCGCTGCGACCCCTGGCGGCCCAAAGGGTCTCGCGGAGCCGCGGGTCGCCGGGTGGGCGGGGCCTGGTCTATGCGTCTAGACCCCTCCTCCCAAGGACACGCCTGCTCGAGTCCCGGATGTGCTCCAGGCCCTGGGAAATCCATCCTGTTGCATAGGGAGTCTGTTGCTTGCCAGTCTGTGTGTAGGGATTTGAGGAGTTTAAGGAGTGACTGAATATAAATGAACTAAAAAACAAAACAGCAATATAAAACCCTCTACGGCCTATAATCCCAGCACTCTGGAAAGTTGGGAAAGGAGGATTACAAGTTTGAGCCCAGTCTCGGCAATTTAGCGACTTAGTGAGACATTGTCTCAAAATAAAAATTAAAAAAAGTTAAAATGGGCTGGAAATGTAGCATAGTGCGAAGGCCTTGGGTTCAATCTCCAGTACCGCAGAAATAAATGTCTGGGAATGTAGCGCTAAGGCCCTAAGTTAATTCACAGTAGCAAAAACAGCAAAATCAACAAAATCTCCCTTGTTCAACAGAGTGCCAAAGAAAAAAAATTTATTCTTTTAGATGAACTCTCAACCACGTGCTGTTCATAGCTGCCTCTTTGCCCCTGGCTCCTGGAAATGTCTTGTCCTTGGGGACTTTAAATCCTGGGTTGTCTGGGTCTCTTATTCTCTGGGCACCAGGGAAGTTTCTCCCCAGCTTGCAAAAATTTCAAACTAGTTTGAAGAAAAAAGTGAGGTCAGAGTCTCCGAGGCAATTTTTGTTCAGGCTTCATTTCTAGGAGAAATTTGCATTCCTAAAATAAATTTGGATAATTCCATTGATTTTGTAAAAAAAGATAAATTGTGCATGTTCTTATGGAGAACCATCAGAATAGGCAATTAGTAAACAAATGTAAAAGGTATTAGAAAATACCTGAGTTAAATTATCTTCACAGATTACTATGTGACAACATTACAGCATTGGAGAAAGGGTAATATTAAGTATTGTCCAGGAACTGGAGTAAATTCCTATCAGGCTAACTGATCACTTATTTTTCAAAGTGACTAAGAAACTTGACTTTGTAATTTATGGTTCCCTTGTTAGTGGGAAAAGCAATACTGTCTGTGTTGAGATTCGGCCAATGCCTCTATAAAACCTTCTTTCCCTACCACTACAATCAGTCCCTCTAGTGAACCTTATCTGGTATATATTTCTTGTGTTTGAGGGCTCATCTTAGATTTCTCCAGAAAATCTTGACTGAGACAATTAAATGTCTGACTTTGGTCAACTGTGCTGTTGTAACATATATCATGTGGTACTGGGGTGACCTAGTTAGACCTGTATTTACCCCATTATATGGTTATTTTTTTGAAGGAACTCTGATTTTAGTATTAATGTCTGTCCCATAAATATCTGTGTAAACAGTGAAAGCTTAGTGACAGTAATGTGTTTGTTTTGTTTTGTTTTTGCGGTATCGGGGCTTGAACTCAGGACCTTGTGCTTTCGAGGCAGGTGGCAGCACCAATGAGCTAAATCCCTGGCCCCACTTATTTTTAAATAATAAAATCAGTGTGTGTTATCATAAATGCCAATAATTAATGAAAAATACTTTTAAAATAATTTAGTGAGAAAGGTGACATTATTTTACATTTTTTGCAAATCTCTTCAATGTCTGTTTTGCTAAGAGAAAATTGTATTCTCCCATCTGGTTTTATTTTTATTTTTATTTATTTTTTGGTACCAGGCATCAAACTCGGGACCTTGCACTTGTGAGGCAGGTGGCAGACTCACTGAGCTAAATCCCCGGCCCTCTCCCATCTGCTTTTAGACAGCTCCATGGTACCCAGAAAAAGGTAAATGGCATTTCAGTATTGTGAAAATAGTTCATCTTTGTGGACTTTCCGGAAAGGGTTTCAGAAAGGACTCCCACGGGTTCCTGTACAACACTTCGGAAACTGTTCTACAGTTACTCGAACTTGAAGGAATTGTAGAGATCAGTTACCTGCCTGAGGGAAAAAGGCATAGAGCTGCTTTTCTTAAATCCTGGATCAGGTGGATCTGCCCAAGGGAGTCCAAGGGGGAAGAAAAAGTGCGAGTGTTTCTGCCCCGGAAGTGAAGGCTGAGGTCTGCTGATTGACAGCCCGGAGACCTCAGCACAAAGGAAAGAAATGCTACACAATGCAACGGAACAACTACTTCTACCACTACTATTTTGGCTTCTTCTTCCCCTTCTCCCTCTCCTTCTCATTTCTCTCTTCCTCCTTCTCCTTCTACTGCATGCTAGGGCTCAAACCAAGGGCCTCCCCCATGTGAAGCAAGTGCTACTTGAGCTACAACCCCAGTGCTTAGAACTTCTCAGGGGTGCCAAGAATTGGAACAACTTCTGACTCTGGTTTTTATCCCTAAAAAAGATTATGGGACTGGAGATAAATTTTTAAATCTTCTTTCTCTCTTTCTTTCCTCCCTGCCCCACCAATAGATGTCATAAGGCTGAATTGCATCTCTCTCTCCTGAATATTGATATGTCATAGTTCTAACCCCCAGTGCCTTACTTCATGACTGTATTTGGAAATAGGGCCATTAAAGAAGCGGTTAAGGCAAATGAGGTCAGTAGGTGAACCTTTCATTGTGTTTTTTTTTAGTACCAGGGATTGAACTCAGGACCTTGCACTTGGGAGGCAGGCAGTGTCACCACTGAGCTAAATCCCCAGCCCATGGCTGGTTTCATTGTAATAAGGTATGGTCAGGGCACAGACATGCACAAAAAGAAGACCATGTGAAGACACAGGGAAAAGGTGGCCACCTGTAAGCCAGGGAGAGAGGCTGTTACGGCTTGTGTCTAGATGTCCCCCCAGAGCCTCATGTGGTCATAGGTGAGGCTTTTCAGAAATGGCTGGATCTAGGGTGTATGCTGCTGGGATCAAGATGTGATGCTGGGATTGATTCATGGTGTGATGCTAGGATTAAGGCTGCCCCGGCCTGGATGTGAGTTCTACCTGCCCTAAGGGTGGGTAGCCTGGATAAGATATAAAGATCAGGAAGAAGGTCGTCATTTGTTGCTTGCTGCCTTTGTCTACCCTGCTTTGCCATGAACTGTTTCTCCTCTGTGATGCCCCTCTGCCATGCCCTCCCTTGGAGCCAGACAACTATGAACTGAAACCTCTACATACTGTGAACCAAATAAACCTTTACTCCTTTAATTTTGGTTGTTGAGTATTTTGTCTCAGCAACAAGAAAAGTAACTAAGACAGAGGCCTTGAAAGAAATAAATTGTGAGGACACACTGATCTCAGATTTTTAGCCTTCAGAATTTTGAGAATATAGCTTTTTATTGTTTAAACCACCCAGTTTATAGTAGTTCATTTTGACGACCTGAGGAAACTAATATGATCAGATTTTACACAGGTTTTACCTTCCCACCTTCTATTTCCAGCTACACTATTCTCCTCCACAGAGAGGATTGTTTCAAATAAATTTTCCACATGCACAAGTTATATATGTGTCCATTTGCTTTCTGTGTCCCCATCTTTTACACAAGTGACAGTACAGTATATCTGTTGTTCTGCCCTTTGCTTTTTGGATTTTTTTGGTTTTTTGTTGGTTTGTTTGTTTTTTGGTGCCTGGGATCCAACTCGGGACCTTGCACTTGCAAAGCAGGCAGTGGAACCACTGAGCTAAATCCTCAGCCCTGCCCTTTGCTTTTTACATCTTATGCACTGATAAGGGTTTGAATGTTGTAGATCATTCCTAATCAGCACATGAAGAGCTTTCTCATTCTTATTTACCCTTGCATAATAGAGAATTGACCTCTGACAGTTTTAGCTGGGTTTTCTTTTTTGGTACCAGGGATCGAACTCGGGTCCTTGAGTTTGCGCAGCAGGTGGTGAAAACACTGAGCTAAATCCCCGGGCCTATGACAGTTTTACAATTTCATGAAATATGTGGGTTAGATATTGATAATATTCCATTTTTAGGTTAGGTTCAGAAAGATGTAGTTTCTTATGGTTATAACTTACACTGTGATAAATGACAAGGAGAAAAAATAAAGCTCAGAAGGGAGAAAATGAAGTGTGTGTGGGGGAAGGGAAGTAAGTGTGTTTGTGAAATTTTAGGATGACACTCCATTTTTTTTAAAGCAAAACATTTATTGGTACATTTTAGATATATGTAATGATAACATTCATCATAGGTGGGCTGGGGATTTAGCTCAGTGGTTCTGGGGCCGGCCTCAAAAGCGCAAGGTCCTGAGTTCAATCCCCAGTACCAAAAAAAAAAAAAATTCATCATAGGGAATTTGTACCTGTACATGATATATCTTGCTTCTTTGTTTCCATTTTTCCTTCTACACTCTCTCTCTCTCTCTCTCTCTCTCTCTCTCTTTTGGAGACAGAGTCTCATTAGGGAGTTCAGTCTGTCCTTAACTCACTGTGTAGTCCAGGCTGGCCTTGAACTCACAGTGATCCTCCAGCCTCAGCCTCCCAAATGTTGGGATTACAGGCATGTGCCACTATGTCTGGCTATTCTTTCTTTTTATCTTGTCCCTTCTTTCCTTTCCCTCTTCCCCCCTCTCTTGTTCCCTTTCTCATTTATACATTTCCCCCACCATTCCCCAATATCTATTATACATCTTAGTCCTTATTTCCACTTTCAGTTTCTCATACCAGAGAGACAATGTGGTATTTAAACATGTGTGTCCGATTTTTTCACTTAGGAGTATGACCTTGGGCTGGGGATTTAGCTCAGTGGTTCCACCTCCTACCCTGTAAGCACAAGGACCCGAGTTCGATCTCTGGTACCAAAAAAAAGAGTATGGCCTCAAGGTGCATCTATTTAGCTAGAAATGTCTCAAGCTTATCCTTCTTTATGGCAGAGTAGTACTCCATTGCATAAAAAAATTGCATCTTCTTTATCCATTCATCAGTTGATGGGCATTTGGGCTGTTTCTAAGATTTAGCTATTATAAAATAGTTTATAGTGTGCCACTATAAACATGAGTGTGCATATATCAT